CATTTAGTATTCTCTTGCCCAAAACCCAGGAACCCTGGGCTCTAAATCCTAGTTGGGCCATTGAGCTGCTATGTGGCCACAGGCAAGTAGCTCAGCCTCTCTGATCTGGATCTGTGATTCTATCGACCCACTCACAGGCTGCCTTCCCTCCGCACAATGAGATAAACCTGTGTGATGTGCTAGCCTTCAAAGTCTGAAGAGTTGTCAAGACTCCTCCACAGAGTCAGGTTTCCTGTACACCCCACCACCAACCTTTCAGGCCCCTGGAGCAGACAGAAAGCAGGCTCCGGGCTCTCCCGCCTCCTTTTTCAGCTGTGTTGGGCCCTTCCTGCAATATACCTCAGCTTCCAGAAAACACTAGCTACATGGAGTTTTGTTTACCCTTCCATCTTGCAGTCACTATCCTTACCTCTGCCCCAGACAGTTAACTCTCACTGTTGCTTTTGGGGGCATACACACACAAACATACACATTTCCTTGCCATCACTGATGGAGGATCAAAAAGCATAACTCTCAGATCTGGTGAGCTGGAAGTTTTTAGAATTTTAGCTAAAGCAATAGAACCTTTCTTCAAAAATCAAAATAGCTTTGGCTCTTGTAGTCATTCAGAAAACATTTACTGAGCACCTATTACGTACCAGGCACTAAGCTAACTAGGGACTAGAGACACAGTGGTGGACAAGGCAGATAAAGCCCTTGCTTCCAAGCTGTCTTCTTTGGGAGGCCCTTCCTGGACACCACCATGCTGGAAACTTCAGCCCTCTCTCAAGCCCTCCCCTTGCCACTCTGTACTTGGTCTCCATGGGTCTTGTCACCATTTAATGGACTGCATATTTTATTTTTACTTCTGTTTTCTGCCTTCTTCCTTGACTAGCATATAAACGTCATAGGGAAGGTGTCATTGTTTTGTCCACTGCCTACTATTATATCCCTGACACCTAAAATAATCTCTGACACAGAGTAGGCACTTAGTAAATACCTGCTAAGCAAATGCATGGGCATTAAGTGAATCATACATGTAATACATACATATATGTATGTACATAAATATTTCATTGCAAATATGATAAGTGCTTTGGAAAATAAGTATGAAATCCTAGGGGCTGCATGGTTGGCAGCTGGGAAAGACTTGCCTGAAAACGTGATGTTTAAACTGAGTCTTAAAGTACGAGTGGATGTGGGGCAAGATGGGGAAGGGGGATCTGGGGAAGAAAGAGGGAGCGTCCTCCACAGAAAAACAGCATGTGCAAAGGTCCCAAGGCAGAAAGAAGGCCAGTATCTGGAATGAACTGAGAGAGGGGGAACGGCGGGGTGGGGGGGTGGAATGCAGCAAGGAGGCAGTTCAAGGAAGTCCTTGGAGGCCCTTCCATCTGGATCTTATTCCAAAGACTATAGGGAATCCCAGAAACGATTTAAGCAAAGAGGTGTCTGTCAGATTTATATTTCAAAAAGGTCACTCTGCTGCTGCATGAGAGTGGCCTACAGGGGCCAAGAGACTTTTCTGGAAGACCAGTTAGGAGGCTTCTGTCAAGTGGGAGATCTTGGTGTCTGGACCAGGCTGGTGGGAGCAGAGGTAGAGAGCAACGTGGATGGAGTGGGGGGTCAGGTGGAGGTCAGAGGCCATCAACTCTCCCCTTACAGGCATCTGAGGGTTCTGCAGCTCAAGGTTAGTAGCTTTTTCTAGAAAAGACCAAATAGTAAATATTATAGGTTTTGCAGGTGTACAGGAAAGAGTTACCACAGTCAGCATGATGTTGCTGTCCAAAAGGGCCTGCTGGCAAGAATGGCTCTTGACTGGTGTCTGGGAACGTAGCTAAGATGTTCCCCCTGGTACTAAGTCACACAGTCGTTTTGGATGTCTGGGGCACTGAATTCTGCTGTGCCAGCCTGCCTGGACTGCTTGTACAAGCAATGCAACTTACAGTGAGCACCTGCTTTCCTTCTGAAGGTCGGGAATTCTGGGGACTGTGTGATCGACCACATGGCCAGAAAGTATCTGTGCACTTAATAAAACTTCCCCATTGGGACACCTGGGTGGCTCAGTCAGTTAAGCGTCTAACTTCAGCTCAGGTCATGATCCCAGGGTCCTGGGATTGAGCCCCACATCGGCCTCTTTGCTCAGTGGGGAGCCTGCTTCTCCCTCTGCCTGCTCTGCCTGCCGCTCCCCCTGCTTGTGCTCTCTCTGACAAATAAATAAAATCTTTAAAAATCCATCCATCCATCCACCCATCCATCCATCCATCAATCTTCCCCATTAAAAACCCGAGTCCTGAGCAATCTCCTCTGGGCAAAAATACTGCCCACATCTTGCTGAATTTCGATGCTGCAAGAAGGAATATGTTGTGTGTGTCTCCTCTTGGCAGAATGCCATGGGAAGCCTATGCTTGGATTCCTCCAGACTCTATCTGATGATGGAAATAAACCATATTCAAGAGTGCAACTGCTCTGAGTCCTTTGAGTCCTTCTAGTGAATCACTCAGTGTGTGTGGGGTCTTGGCACCCTCGACACAAGGGGTCATACGGTTTCTGTCTCAGCTACTCCACACTGTCTCTGAGTTATGCTTCTGGGCAGCCAAAAACAATATGTGAAAAAATAAGTAACATGGCTGTGTTCCAATAAGACTTTATTTATTTAAAAAAGGGCGCCTGGGTGGCTCAGTCGTTAAGCGTCTGCCTTCGGCTTGGGTCATGATCCTAGGGTCCTGGGATCGAGCCCCGCATCGGGCTCCCTGCTCCATGGGAAGCCTGCTTCTCCCTCTCCCGCTCCCCCTGCTTGTGTTCCCTCTCTCGCTGTGTCTCTCTCTTGTCAAAGAAATAAATAAAATCTTAAAAAAAAAAATAAGGCAGAGGGTGGAATCTGGTCTGTAGTCAGTTTGTCAACCCATGTTCACAGAAAATGCAGGATTCTCTGAATCTAGTTTGAAACTGCTGACTGAATTCAACCTTTTCATGTCATTAGTGGGAAAACTGAGGCCCAGAAAGAAGAAGAAAGAAGGAAGTTGTCCAAGGTCACTCAGGATCAGCAGCAGAGCCAGAGGAAGGCCAGGTCCAGACTGTTGGCCCAATGTGCTGGCCATGACTCCAAGTGGCCATTCCACAGCATAGCCTTGCAGGTAAGTGCTGACCTGGAAGCCAAGGCCTAAGAGGGCAGAGATGGCAGGAGACTGGGATGACGAGGGCAGGCAGTGTGAATGGTGGACTGTCTGGCTTCACCTCTGCTCTGTGTGTGGGGGTGAGTTTGTGGTGCACATGTGTACACGTGCAGATAGGGCTCTATGGTCGTAGGTGTTGGCTGAGTTTTCCCAAACTTTTCTGATGATCAGAATATCCTTTGCAGCTTTCTAATAATACAGATGTGCAGGTGCCATCCCATACTCCCTGAAATTGTACTTTTAACATGTTCCAAGGTGTTCCGATGATCGTTAGGATTAGAAACTGCAGGTGATGCTCAGAATCTCTTGACTGACCTCGAGGACCAGGATAAAGAAACCCATGAGTAGAGGAAAGAACAAGAAATCTGTCCTGGGTCAAGAATTTGTGGATCTAACAAAAATGCACAGACCAGTGATTCTGGAAATAGTTTTTCCAAAACTGATTCTCCAACTGAGCCTTTGCCATCGTAGGTTGGAGTTGGTGAGACCAACAGTCCGGAGCTCATTTCCTTCTTCCTAGGGATTCTGCTTGCAATTCAGGATGCCACCTCAGGTGCCCGGTGGTGCCTTGAGCCTCAGGGCCCCTCACAGCACAGCAAACTGAGACAGAAATGAGTACACATTGCCACTCCACCATGGACCTTAATCAGTGTAATGAGATACAGCTGAGCTGCAGTAACTCACCCTCCATAAACCTTTCCATCCAAGTTCTCCTAACAGGGTTGGCTGGAAGACATAGACAGCACACTTGGAATTTCTTACAGGCTCATCTTCTATGAATGCAGATTCTATATTCTAACGCATGATCCATCTATGTTTGTTTTAGTAGAAATATGGGTGCTTTTATGTTCATCATGGCATTATTTACAATAGCCAAATTATGGAGGCAGCCCAAGTGTCCATGGATAGGTGAATGGATAAAGAAGATATGGTGTATAGACACAATGGAATATTATTCAGTCATAAAAAAGAATGAAATCTTGCCATTTGTGACAACATTGATGGACCTGAGGTATTATGCTAAAGGAAATTAGTCAGAGAAAGACAAATACTGTATTTTGCTTATACGTGGAATCTAAAAAAAAAAAAAAATGAACAAAACAAAATAGAACCAGATGCCTAAATACAGAGAACAATGTGGTGGTTGCTGGAGGGGTAGGTGAAAGAGGGGAAGGGGATTAAGAGGTACAAACTTCCAGTTATAAAATAAATAAGTCACAGGGATACAAGGTACACTATATGGAATATAGTTAATAATATATAACAACTTTGTATGGTGACAGACGGTAGCTAGATTTATCATGGTGATCACCTCGTAACGTATAAAAATGCTGAATCACTATGTTGTACACCTGAAACTAATGTAACATTATATATCAACTACACTTCAATCAAAAGAAAAAAATGGATGTCTCCTCATCCATCAATACAAAAATACAAAAGTGTATTTTTACTTTCACTTACCTCTGAAATTTAGCACTTCTTCAATTATGAATGCAGACAACAAACTATAGTATTGTTAGCAGTAGAAATCCCAGATACTTCCAAATCACAGTATCGATATCTCCCAAACGTCATTTATGCTCATCACTACTTTGAAACCATGAAAATTATCAGACCTTGGATCTTGCTATTTGATGTACTGATAAATAAGCACATATCTTATTACCATGTCACAAATTCGTTTTTTGTTAATGTTAATCATCACTGAAAATTACTACTGTGAGAAGGGGTCCACAGGTTTCCATGTGCTCAGCCAGCTGTCGAGCCCCCCTAGTTAGCAGCAGAGGCCCACGGAGGTCTTCCAAGGGGTGACAGGCAACTGGGCATCGAGCAAGCAGCTCTTACCTGTGGGTCAGAGAGCCGGGAGAGGTCGGGGTACAAGTAGAACTTGATGCCTTCGGAGGCCCCAGGCAACGTGACCCCTCGGATCAGGAGGATCAGAAGCATGATATACGGAAATGTTGCAGTGACGTACACAACCTGCCCAGGGGAGGAGAGGAAAGAATCAAGAAGGGGTGACAGTGGGGGGCCATGTGGCAGGCTCCTAACTTCTGGTCTGGAGCAAAGGACTTCCCAGTGCAGCGAATCATGAACCCCTGACACAGTTTCTTCTCCCACCTCATCTCTCACCACTGACCCCTCATTCAGTCATTTGTGACTACACCCCACAGAAGGAAATACACAGGATATCAAAATCCCATACACATCGAGCTGAAACAGGATGTTTCACAAAACACTCACTCTTCCATGTGTGATGAACTCAATATTTTCTATCATCTTCTATTTCTTTTTTTTTTTAAAAGCTAGTCATGACCCTCTAAGTTCAGGTCACAATTCACCAATGGGGGACCATTTCCTTACACCACACACAAAAATAGACTCCAAATGGTTGAAAGACCTAAACGTGAGACAGGAGTCCATCAAAATCCTAAAGGAGAACACAGGTAGCAACCTCTTCGACCTCAGCTGCAGCAACTTCTTCCTAGAAACATCGCCAAAGGCAAGGGAAGCAAGGGCAAAAATGAACTATTGGGATTTCATCAAGATAAAAAGCTTTTGCACAGCAAAAGAAACAGTCCACAAAACCAAAAGACAACCGACAGAATGGGAGAAAATATTTGCAAATGACCTATCAGATAAAGGGCTAGTATCCAAAATCTATAAAGAACTTATCAAACTCAACACCCAAAGAACAAATAATCCAATCAAGAAATGGGCAGAAGACATGAACATACATTTTTCCAAAGAAGACATCCAAATGGCCAACAGACACATGAAAAAGTGCTCAACATCGCTTGGCATCAGGGAAATCCAAATCAAAACCTCCATGAGATATCACCTCACACCAGTCAGAATGGCTAAAATTAACAAGTCAGGAAACGACAGATGTTGGTGGGGATGCGGAGAAAGGGGAACTCTCCTAGACTGTTGGTGGGAATGCAAGCTGGTGCAACCACTCTGGAAAAACAGTATGGAGGTTCCTCAAACAGTTGAAAATAGAGCTACCATACGATCCAGCAATTGCACTACTGGGTATTTACCACAAAGATACAAATGTAGGGATCCGAAGGGGTACATGCACCCCAATGTTTATAGCAGCAATGTCCACAATAGCCAAACTGTGGAAAGAGCCAAGATGTCCATCGACAGATGAATGGATAAAGAAGATGTGGTATATATACACAATGGAATATTATGCAGCCATCAAAAGGAATGAGATCTTGCCATTTGCAACGATGTGGATGGAACTGGAAGGTGTTATGCTGAGTGAAATAAGTCAATCAGAGAAAAACATGTATCCTATGACCTCACTGATATGAGGAATTCTTAATCTCAGGAAACAAACTGAGGGTTCCTGGAGTGGTGGGGGGTGGGAGGGATTGGGTGGCTGGGTGATAGACACTGGGGAGGGTATGTGCTATGGTGAGTGCTGTGAATTGTACAAGACTGTTGAATCACAGATCTGTACTTCTGAAACAAATAACACAATATATGTTAAGAAAAAAAAAAAGAAGAAGATAGCAGGAGGGGAAGAATGAAGGGGAGTAAATCGGAGGGGGAGATGAACCATTAGAGACGATGGACTCTGAAAAACAAACTGAGGGTTCTAGAGGTGAGGGGGTGGGGGGATGGGTTAGCCTGGTGATGGGTATTAAAGAGGGTACATTCTGCGTGGAGCACTGGGTGTTATGCACAAACAATGAATCATGGAACACTACATCAAGAACTAATGATGTAATGTATGGTGATTAACATAACAATAAAAATTAAAACAAACAAACAAATAAACAATTCACCAATGGGCCACTATCCACATTTTTGAAAGACACTGCTCTTAATTAAAATCAAGTTTTCACAGCCAAGGATAAGATAGAAAAGTGCAGGAGGGGAGTCAGGGAGGGAAGCTGTCAGGGACAAGAAAGACCCAGTGTATGCCAGGGATTATTTCAGCTTGCTGTACCTGGAGGCAGGTGATTGGACCCAGTGAACCTGGGCAGCCCTTTCAGCCCACAGATTCTGTGCAAGAAGCAAAATCTCCCCTGGGCTTCTTCATACAAGAACTTTTTACAAGGAAACAGCAGCACCTTCTAGACTCTGGGAGTTCCTGTCTTGGGGCCACACCTTCTCCTGAGGTCCATGCAGGACTCAGTGTCCCCTCCAGCTCTGATTTTTTCTCCTTTGTCCCATCCTCTTCTGTAATAACTTGGTCATGTCCTCTCAGTGGGGCCTGCCTGTTCCATCTGTTTAGATCAGCAACTTGTCAACATTTGGGAGTCATGAACACTTCTGAGGATCTGAAGACAGCTACAGACTCTCTGCCCTTCCCCCAAAGGTGCCCAGACACAGATATGTGTCGAGCTTTTGGACTGGTTCAGAGACTCAGATTGCCCCAGTCAAGGACCCATGGTCTTAAGTCTTCTAGTGGAAACCTTTCTCAACCCAGGGTTTCTTTTACCAGTGGTCCAGTCCTTCACTCAGCTTGTGCATTTATTCCTTTACTCACTCATCCACCTACTCACTCACTCACTCACTCAGTTACACAGCCGAAACACTCCTACATACCAAGCACTGAGCTAGACTCTGGAATATACAAATAAGAATGAGTCTTGAATGGAAGTTTCTGCTTCAAGAGGCTTCCCCACTGGTAGAAAAGACAGACATGTAGGTAAGTAGACCGTGCATTACGTAATCATGGGAGTATAAAGGATGGAGGAGCACAGAGTAACTAATTACAGGGGCACTCAGGAAGGGCTTCTCCAAGGAGGCGATCCAGGTATTGGCCCATAAAGGATAAGCAGAAGTTCAGGACATGGGAAATGGGGACAGAGGGAAGAAGAGAATAAAACCCTGCTAAATGCCAGTCACTTGACACGTGACAATAGAAATAGCTACATTTAAGGGCACCTGGGTGGCTCAGTTGGTTAAGCGTCTGCCTTTGGCTCACGTCATGATCCCAGGGTTCTTGGATCGAGCCCGTGGGCTCCCTGCTCAGCAGGGAGCCTGCTTCTCCCTCTCCCTCTGCCCCTCCCTGTCCTCCACCTCCACTCGGGCTCTTTCTCACTCTCTTTCTCTCAAATAAATAAATAAAAATCTTAAAAAAAGGAAATAGCTACATTAATACAGCATTTCCTCTTGGATTTTTTTCCTCATATTATTTTATTCTCATATAAATTAACATCTTAGAAAAATTGAAATAGAAACACTAAATATAGGGGGCACCTGGGTGGCTCAGTTGGTTAAGTGGCTGCCTTTGGCTCAGGTCATGTTCCCAGGGTCCTGGGATGGAGACATATGTCAGGTTCCCTGCTCAGTGGGGAGCCTGCTTCTCCCTCTCCCTTTGCCTGCTCCTCCCCCTGCTTGTGCTCTCTCACTCTGTCAAATAAATAAATTTTAAAAAATCTTTAAAAAAAGAAATATTAAATACAGTATGACACACAGCAATCCTTGTGTTAACTGCCCTATTATTTCATTGAAGAATGCTTGTATGTGCACTAAAGGGACTGAAGGGGACAGGAACACAACAAAACAATAACAAAAAAAAATTACCATTTCTCTGCACTTAACCTGTAAACTAAAAGGTAAGAGGCCATACTTTACATAAATGCAAATGTAAGTCATTCAGTTGGCAAGTGACAAAGCAGGGATCTAAACCCAATCCTCAAACACAAGAAATAAGAACCAGCAGAGGGTGGTGTCATCAGGTCCTGCTCACATCTGGAGGACTGGACTGTTTCATCCAGACATTATCCTTAAACCTACAATGCCGGCACCATCCTCAGCCTGCTCACAGCCCTGCTCCAGCCACTTCAGCGTCCTGCTTCCAGATCAACCATCGGCTCCATGGACATGCCATGCAGTCGTTTCAAACAATCTCTTGCTGTAATATATTATGTAATCCAGAAAAGGTGAATGCGAGTCAGATATGTAAGAACAAGAGCCAGTGGCTGATATTAACAGTAAAAAATTAGAGGCCACCCATCAATAGAATTGATGGTTCTTGCCCAGAGGGGTACCTGTGCTATGCCCTCCATTTCCCTTAGCCTAGTAGGCATAATCTATCATGGATCCTCAGAATTTCATATAAATTCTGGATTCTCTTCCTTCAAAATGAACCTCCACACCTCAGCCAACCAGCTTGTATCTATGAAAAGTCAAGGAGGGGAACTAAAATCTATTGCTTTTAATTGCATACTTTCCACTTTTGTCTCTGTGGTATGGCAGATTAATTATTCAGAATGCCCAGGTTCTGAATGATATTTCTGTCTTAATCCCCAATGCTCATAAAATTTAAGGGAAAGAATGTTACCAGGTAAAATAGAAGAACAACTGAAAATCACAGGACTTTATCCTTACTGTGTGGGACCACCTCGATGTGACTAAACTTGTTGGTTATGCTCTGCCTGGTCTGTCTGTTTTTTTTGTTTTGTTTTGTTTTTTAAGATTTTATTTATTTGTCAGAGAGAGAGGGAGAGAGCACAAGCAGGGGGAGTGGCAGGCAGAGCAGGCAGAGGGAGAGGCAGACCCCCCCCCAAGCAAGGAGCCCCATGTGGAACTCGATCCCAGAACCCTGGGATCATGACCTGAGCCGAAGGCAGACGCTTAACCCACTGAGCCACCCAGGCGTCCCTCCGCCTGGTCTGTTTTGAGTGCACTGAGCCACCAGGGTATCATTAAGGGGTCACTTATAACCTGGCCAAATGCGCCCTCACTGTGCCCCCAGCAACGCACATAGCAGACTGTTCCTCAAGGTCCACACTGTCCTGACTTATTAAATGGCTAATGACTGTTTTGAAGTAATCCCATTGATTAGAGTTCTAAATACGTGCTCTGCTTCTACATTACATTGAGGAGAACTACACTCCCTCCACTGAGATCTGCACCTTCATTTTTACACTTTTTAAAATAAAACCATAAGGGAAAGAAAATATTCAGATGAACTGCCCAAAGACCACTGTGCAGACAATGACTTAGGCTGCCAA